TTGGTCTCTATCTGGTGAGGTTCTTGAGGCTGAGTTTTGAGTTTGGGTTGAGAGCTACCTTGTCTTGGTGTTTTGAGCTTCAAGGAGTGATCTTTGAAGAGAAAGAACCATTCTTGGTGTACCATTTTCGTGTACCCTTGGAGTCAGCACCTTGGAGCTGACTTGAGAGCTCCAAGAGCATCATTCATATCTGTTTTGGAGCTTGCGGTATGTTCTTGAACCTTTAATCATGATTTCCCTTAATAAAAGTGGAGTCTTGGCATGTTTAATGAGTTGTTTAAGTAGCTAACAAGATCACTGATCTAAAGGGGCTTAAATATGCATGCTTTAACGTAATCAAGTGTTAAAAATGGAACCTTGGTTTGATATCTTCGCGAAAATGCAGAACTGCATTCTGTCGCGAAATATCCGGATATGGATATCCGAATACGGGGTTATGGATATCCGGATATGGTCCCGACAAATATCTGTATATTCTGGGAATTTCGAGAGTGTCACTGTTCTGTTCGGACATAATGGTATTTTTGGATTTGTGGACCCATGATTGGTTAAGTTGAACCTCTGTAATAATTAACTAAGTCAGAATCAAAGTGATTAAGAAGCTTATGGATTTGATAGAAGACTAAAGACATGAAACAAAGAAGAAAACGTTGTTGTTATGTCTTGAACTATTAGATTATGAATGTTGATATGATTGTTGGTATAAACAGACTGTGAGAGTGCTATTTGTGGACCTTGGACTTGGGGACTCTTGTTTGGATAGTTAGCTTGCTAGGTAAGCTTTCGTGTCCTCGGTTTAGCCATTGTTGGTTCCACCATATCCCACAGGGGAATGATTTATATGCATGATGTGTTTTCATGTATTGATTTTGAAATGCTGTTGAGCTGTTATGTGCAAGTGCTCTATGATATGCATGTGTTGTGCCACCTAGATGGTAAGCATGAATATGTGGAGACATACAATAGGGTGATTCTGTTGGTGGGTGCTAGTGGTGTCTTGCACTGATTGTAGGTAATAGACGTATGTAAATCCTGCATTTTTCTGGCCAGTGGAATATTTGACACACATGACATGATTATCTGCTGCATTGCACTGATTTTGGAACTTATATTGTTTTACTTCTTTTAGAACTTATATTGCACATGTAAGTGAGCTTGGGGTGGAGAGATCCTTGAGGACCCCTTGTCTTACTAAGATTTCTGTTTAGAGATCTCACCCCACGTTTGGGGCACATTTTTAGGTTCAGGTAACTCGGGGGTTGATACCTCGGGCGGCAGGAGGCTGGAGCTGAGTTAAGATATTTTATGTTTTTGCTGATATGTCCTGGCTGTTATTCTGTTATATTGCCCTTATATTGTTTTATGATTTGAGTCTCTGTTCGGCTTGTTGTCTTATTTGGTGAGCATGGGGGTTGTCCATGCCACATTGTCTTGACTTTGTTGTTTTAGATTTGAGTTGTATAATTGTATCAGGATTATGGTCCGGACTACGTGTTGTAGCTCCGTGATTTAGATATTCACAGTTATTTATATGTTGAGGTAGTTCAGTTAGTTGTTTTATTGCAATTTACGTATAGGTAATGTTTTGAAAAAGGATTAATTAATCAACTTGGTTAATAATAATGACGTCATAATTGGAAAAGAAAAAGTTAATTCCGCATTTTAATTAAACATAGCTTAATACGATAATATGATAACAATCCGGATATACACGGGGTGTTATACCTACACACATTTCCCCCCCAAAAATCACACTGATTGCACTTTTAACTCAAAAATGACTATACTTTATCTATTTAAGCCTTTTATTTAATTCAACCCAACATTGTATGATTAAATATTTAATCCCCTCTATTTTCTAATTAAACAGGTTAGGGATATTATAATCGTTCCTACGAGGATTAGTGTTTCAAGCACTAGTTCACTATTTTTATTTAAATTGGACAAATCAAATTTGGTTTAAGAAGAATAATAGAAATCCAATTTCAAAGAAAACAAATAAAAGAACAATTAAATGCAAGAAAAGAATTCTAATAATTAAAGATGGATTTAAAATCAAGAATGAAAAACATAGTTAAAGTTTATTTCACCTCAGATCCCCCTTAAGTGATTTAACTCAATTCAATAACTTTTTATCCCAATTGTTTCAAACAATTCATCATCTAAAATATTTAGTTAGTTTAATTCTAATATCTTAGTGTCTTTAACCCTTTAACTAATTGGAAGTCTAATATCTTAGTAACCCATTTTAGATTAAGCTTTAAGCGGGATGAATTACATAAATTCGCAATTCCTACAAGCCTATGTCTAGATCATGCAAGAATTGATGTTCTACCCCTGTCTAGATTAATATCCCAATATGTCTATTGTGAATCTTGACCCTCTTTATTTCTATATAATTGGCAAGATCATACAAGAATTTGAACATACAAATCAAGGTAAATACAAACTATTTGAGACAGATTGTTATTGAAAAGAAATTAAATCAAACAAGGATTCATGTTGAATCCATAACCTTAACTACAAAGAAAATTAGTCAGACATAGCTGACTTAAACAAAATAATTAAATACAAGAAAATAGATGAAGAATAGAAGAAGAATAGTTAATCTTCACTGCTAAGCTTTGATCTTCATTAATCTTCGTCTTGCTCTCTAAAAAATTTTATTGAACTGAAAATTACTGCAAAATATAAGAATTTTTATGAGAATATTACTAAGAATAAAATAATACTTTAATTATAATTCTCATAATTTTTAATTATTTTTAAATCAATTTTATTTTTATATTAACACTTAATACATAATAAATTGAAGACACATTAGAACCCTGTTGCCAGTAATTACGACAAAATTGTCCATTTCGGGGGGGAAAGAGTTTTTAGATTGAAAATACAGTGTGATAGGAAAGGTCTTCCTCTACAACACTCAATTGGAGGATCAGACCTGAGGATCTATTGGAGGTAGAAACATATAGGTCCTATTCCGATGACGAGATCAAAATGAACTATCTCAAAAAATGTTTAAATTGTTAGGGAAAAACACATAAATATGTTCATATGTAACACGACCATGGACGTTAAAGGGTAAATATTGCCAACACATTAATTTATTCTGGTTTCATTTTGGGTGAAATGTTAGGGAATTCCAAGCTAAAGCATGTTATCAATCATATAATTCATCCATTCATAAAATTAAAGCAATTATAAATTAAACTTTAATCAAAGGTTCCCTAGAGAGAAAAACTAAAATTACAAATTAGAATAGGAAACTCTTCTGCCCATTTCCTTATTCTTTTCAATCTTTAGGTTCTGTTTCACGTCCCTTTATGGTAACTATGGGCCCAAAATACCAAACTTTGGCAAGAGACCCTAAGTCAACTTGAATCCTAGTCGTCATGTCTACTGCGCCATCACCCGAACTCATCTCAGCACGAAACTCTAGGGTAAGGACCACCATGAAGAAACGAAACCACGGCAACCAGAACCATTGCAATATGATATTCCACCCGCCCACACGTGCCGCTCCTTTCTAGGAGGTGGCGCCACGCGCAGCCACTTCCAGCGGCTCGTGGGGATGCGTCTAGCGTCATCTATACCGGAACCAATTTTAGTCTTGCATAGTTTTCTGCCTTCTTTCACCCCATGTGGTTGGTTTATCATATTGACCATCTGATGATCACAAACACATCCAAACAATGACGACCGTCCTAAGAAAAGCACCAATTTTAATGAAAAGAATTATAAAGGATCTATATGCAAATCATATGAGCAACAAATATAGAATCCTAGATGCCATATTTTATAAAGAAAACAAATTATATGAATAGTGAAACTAGATTCATATACCAATGTACAACAAAGGTTCTGATACCAATTGTACGAAAAATTAGATTTATGCGAAAGCGTTTTATGCCCTAGTGCATTAGTATGCTTACGAATCATCATCGTCCCACTAACACACAAGCCATACCTCTTTAAGCGCAGATCTATGAGCGATCTTCTTGTGTGTAAAATCCTTTCATGAACGATCTCGTCTGCGTCACAGTACGGATAATCTCCTTGTAGTTGGTTAGAGACAGACCTTTCGGACTATCTCTTAAGGGGGAAGGGGACAATGTGTAGGCACTCTCTCACTTTTAGAGATGACCTTACATCAACCTCTCCAACCACCAAGTGAAGACTTAGAGAGGCTGATTACTATAAGTGTAGAATATATATTAGTTCCGAGAAACCCTAGCCCTAAGTTGAATGGGCTCTATGTTTCTTGAGCTCTTCTTACACACTAGACCCAATTGGACTTTAGTAAAAGAGCAAAACCCAACAGATCCTTCCATAAACTCCAAAATGAAGTTTTTCACTCTATACCTGTAATAACTAGGCCTAGCTCTACCCCCATTCTACTCAACGCTCAGTGTCCACAAAACCAAGACTTCGTGTAAATGCCTGGTACCACATGTAACCAGAAATTAATTTTTAAAATAACTTTTAATATAGATTTGTTAAGTGTTTAATATAGAAAGTTAATATTTTCCTTAAGGATTTTCACTTTTTTTGTGGAGGCGGACATTCTTCTATGTTTTATTAGTCTAATAAAAAGTACTTTTTGAATCAATTGTTACAATGCTTTGAGGGAAAATAGGGTTTTTCCCTTTAAAAAAAATATATACTTTCATAATTTGAAAAAATACTAGAAGATGCCTCATTTTCTAATGCACCTAATGGCCTTGGATTTGAATTGACCAGAAACTTAGGTGTTGTTTGGTTGAGGAGATCCTGTAATTTCCCTAGGCAAATCAACTTGGTAATCCACTTTGTCTTTGTTTGGTAGACGGATTTGGCAACGTTGCCCGTCTATGCCATTTGCATAGCATTTCCCCATTTGGTCGATTAAAGCTAGGCATTGGCACTGTTGAGAAAGAGATCTTGGACGTGGTTTTTTGTCGATAGCCGTCTAAATTGCAAAACGCAAAATTAAAGCAACCGAAAATACCCTCCTGATATTATCTTCGTTGTGTGGTCAGGTACTGAAGCAAGAGCAAGTACGTAGACAAGAACTTCATGCAAATTGGTGGCTTAACTCCAGCAAGAGCAAGTACTGAAGCAGGTAGAGTCCATATTCCATCCCCACATATCAAACCAGAAGCTACAACTGGTCCAAAAGCATCAGCCTTGGCCTTATTAATCTTTTCCCACACATATAATATCAGACTTCCAACACACATGTCAATGGCAAAGTAAAGCCGTATGTAAAAAGGTATTGCCATTGCCATACAAGGAGAAATCACACAGCTCATTATTGTGCCAAATATTTGGTTCACAAACATGGAACATGGTGAAGCCAAGGTAAGGTAGCCAGTCTTAAAATCCTGCATCAGATCAAAGGCTGTGGAAACAATGTTCATCATCACACCACAGGCTGCAAGGCTAGCAAGAACTCCACCATGCAGTGGCGGACCTAGTCGGCGGCAAGTGTCCGCAAGTGCGGACACAAACTTTTAAAAAAAAAATGCTAAGTTGACTCTTGATTAAATGCTTAGTTGGTTAAAGTTAAACCAATAATCTGAAAACCCTCAAGGGAAAATACTTTATTCACGCTTCAATGACAGCCATAGAGGAGAGATTTCTTCACTAGCTTCAATATATACTAACATCCAGAGCTGGAAAGCAATGGGAGCTTCAGTTTTGAGGAAGAAGAGGGAATGGTGATGGTGATGAACTTGATGTAACTCCACGGTCCAAAGAAAGTACTAAGTGAAGAGGTGAGTCTACGATTTCGGGAGTAAGAAGAGAATAAATTTTCTGATTGCATGAATGAGATGTGGTCGGTCCTGGCTGTGAAAGGGATAAGGGAATGCAAAGTGTCCTTTGTGTTGGGTAGATGTCGATCATGCACCAAAGAGAGAGAGAGGAAATTGGTGGACACATGGCGATCATGCATTCAATGAAGTGGAGGGATTTAGACCCATGTATTGCAAACCTAGGTGAGGTGGAAGCATACTTGATCACTTTGGTGCTCATGAAATAAATGAAGTAGGGTGAGAAACCTTTAAACATTTCCTATTTATAATTTAAATCGCCTTGATTTTTAGATTCCTACTTAGGTAATAGGTTACACTCTAATTTTGTTAAATTTTAAATCATAAATTCGGATTAATTTAACAAAACTAGAGTCTCGTAATCATGTTCAGTTTTAATTTAGTCGACTGAAAATATAATGTTTTTAGTCTTTATATGTGATTGTTTCTAAATTTAATTAAAAAAACTTAACTGTGTAAAATAAGATAATTAAAAACAGGGATATTTTCGTAATTGTCACTTATTTCCCCATCTATATTTTACCTCAAACCAAACATAGACTTTATAAATCTTATCTAATTTGCCTGGTAAATTCTTTTTCCAACCAAACAACTTTTTTTACATTTTCCTACCAAACTCACTTTCTAACCATTTCCCTATCAATTACATTTCCCTAGTATTCAAAAAATTTCTCCTCAACTAAACGCCCCCTTAAAGTCTATTTGACATATTTTTTAAAGTTAAAATTACTTTTAAACTAAAGTTAAAAATAAAATTAAAAATAATTTGGTAGTTATATAAAGTTGTTACTTTTTAAAAGGATGGAGACGAAATGATTTGTTGTGAGGGTACGTAAATTATTAAGGTAAATTATAAAATTTCTAAATCCAAATTTAGAATAAGGATAAAATTAGAAAATAACTATGAAAATTTCATAAAGCTTACACCTTGTAAAAAAAACTCCTCTAGAGGGAAACTTTTTAAATACATTTAATGTACCTACATCATTTTACCAAATAGAGAAAAAAATTCTATTTCTATCCTTGTTTGTTTATTTCCATTCATATCCTAAAATGTTACCTCTTTTGACAGGGAGGTATATACATCTGTTGCACATAAGATTTTCTTCTTTCGGAGAGCTTTTAGCTTCTTTTTTTCTATTATAAAAAAATTCTATTTATGATAAGAATTTTTGTAAAATTATATTTGGCTAAATTTTTGTTTATAAGGAGAAGAGAGATAAAAAAAAATAAGATTTTCCAAAAAGAAACTTACCTATATAATTGCATGGAAATGGGTCAAACATTCCTTTTTAAATAGTTTCAATTCTGTATATATTTTGTTGAAAAGAAAACGATGGGTATTTAAAAGATAAATTGAAAACCCTTTCCCCTTTTTTAATAGGGTTTTATAAGAGTTATGTTGTAGGAAAAATGATTGTGTTATGTTATAGAGATTCATTTTGCATGCCGTAATTTTTTTTCTTCAAAACATGCAGGTCTCACAAAATGTTGTGTATGTAAAAAATTTTATGTGGTCATGTTAAATGATAGATGCAAATCCCTTTATAATATTATGCATAGAAACCAAATTGCAAAGTCTAACCGACGCGACACAAAGTGGAGCCCTATTTTGAGAATGCTTATTCAAATGGTATAAAGCTACTTTTGTTTTTAAAAAAAAAAATTAATTTGTTTTTTTTATTTAAAACCAATTGTTTTTAGACAAATGCATATGCAGAACATGTTTATAACAAAAGTCTAAAGTTAATGTGATTGAACTTTTATTTATTAAAAGATTTTTAATCAAATCTGATTTTATGATAACTTGATTTTTATTTTTCTGTTTTTTATTTTCAATCTAATATTTATTTTTAGTATGAAGTGAGTATGAAATGCATTGAAGCTAAGAATGACATTTTGTGATATAATAAAGTGTGTAATATAAAATTCTAAAGATCTAATCATTTGTGTTTTCAAATTCCATCTTCAATTTGAGATTTTTTATAAATTTTTTGTCTTCATCAAAATATATATTCCATAACGTTACGGTTCTTCATTTTCGTTAGATTTTTTAGGTTTAATTTCATTTCCAGTTATACTTTTATAAATTTATAATCATAGTTACTTATAGCAACGTTTTTGTGTGCGATATTGCGCCTGTAGTCTGTAGCGGGTAGGGCCACCGTATGCTATTTTGTTGATTAATACTTTTTTAAATAACAAAAAACAGAGATTTTTTGTGTGTGTGTGTGTGTGTGTGGGGGGGGGGGGGGGGGGGGGGGGGACTCTATTTAAAATCAAAATATTTGTAGGGGGAAACTCTATTTAAAAATATTTTGTTATCCCCTATTTTATTTAAAAACAAAATGCGGGTAGATAACAAAATATTTTTTTTTAAAATAAGATTTCCCCCCGCCCCTCTACTTTATTGATTAATACTATTCCTTTTTAAGCTCCTTTGTATGAATGATGAGGGCATTTCTTTGTTCTAAATTAGTGGATTCCTATTATTTGTACAATGAAGACAACCTTCCCCTATTTGGACTTTTAGTGATTTGTATAATGGGAGTGGGTCCTATCATGTGAAAAAGTGATTGTGATCAAATAATATGACCACATGACCACTTTTTTACATGAGAGAATTTATTCCCTTTGTATAATACATAGAACTTTGTTATTGCACTATATATAGGATATAAATAGCATGTGATTTCTTGATCGATAAAATTTACTCAAAAATCGATAATTTTTTTTGTCTAAATTTTTGGTGGTGTATATTTTCCATCAAATTTTTTGACAAAAATAATTTTTTTAAACATCTCAATGGAAATTATTTTTCGTAGAAAATTTTCAATAGAATTAATTCGTTGAAATTTTTTGACGGATTCTATTTTCCATCAAATTTTTTGACAAAAAACGATTTCTTCAAAAAATTTGACTGAATCTATTTTTGTCGAAATTTTTTTACGGAATCTATTTTCAATCAAAAAATTTAACAAAAATGATTTCTTCAAATTTTTTTTGATAGAATACATTTTTGATCAGAAATTTCGCAACTAATTTTGATGGAATTTTTGTTGACACAATAATTTGAGACTTTTCTAGTAGTGCTACTACCACTAGCATTGTAGTATTTTCGAGGGTTGACCTTACCCACATTGATAGCTGTGTTTATAATTTTACTTTAATTACTCTTTACAATGGTTTGAGATTTGATTATTGATTGTTAAATTTTTAAAAAAATTATTTTTGGAAGAAAAAAAGTGTACGTTATTCTTTTTAATCCAGATTATTTTAATTAGCCAATTTTTTTTGCTTCATGATGATTATTATTATTAATGTTCCCACAGTTTGAAATTGCCTTTAGATGACAATAAACTATATACATTATGTGAGAAGAGAAAAATGTATAACTTTATAAAAGTATAACAACCATCACTACCAAATTAGGTCAAACAAAGAAATCAAGCAAGTGTTCAATAGATCAAGTATGTGTTCAAGGAAATTTTGACAAGTTATGGCAAGTAATGATCAAGTGATTATAAAATTAACACAATAAGAGGAACAAGGATACAATTCATGCCCAACGAGTCAGTTAGGACCTAAATAGAAGTATGAGTTAGGTTGAGAAACATAGATACAAATTTGGTAAAATAGGGGTATTTTGATAATTTGACAAACTAGGTTATTTAAGCTACATATACATTAATTGATAAAATAAAAATTTAACCTTTCATATCATCATTTATTGTTTATGCGGGGTTAGCATTAATTTCTTATATATAGTTTTATAAATAAGACTAGTGATTTCATACATTGTTGTAACTTTTTTAATTCTGCATTTTTAAACCTGTGCATTAAGCTTGGAATCTTCTTGTTAGTTAGTTTAAAAGAAGAAGAGCTAAGGAGTAAAAGTAACAAATTTCTTGTAAGTTGTTTAGCGATTCTTAAGCAGACATGTTTTACTATAAGTACCTGAATTATTATTTCCCGTGGATTTATTTGACATATGTAGAATTGCAGGAATGGAATTATCTAATTAAAGTTTGAGCAGTACAAGCCCTTTTCATAATGGTTGGTCTGTTTAATTTGGTTCTTTAAAGTAATGCCAATTAAATGAGGTTAGCTAGAGATTATGAAGCACCGATTCGGACACGACATTTTTTATACGTTTTTGATACGTTAAGTTGATATGTTATTTCAAAAATACTAATATTTTAATACATTACGATACATCTTAATATTAAATAATAATTTTAATATAATTATTTATATTACTTTTACCCTTTACTTTTATTTATTTATAATTAGATAAAAAATATGTTAAAATATATTATTGAATAATAGTTATTAAAATTGTGTTTTCATTAAAATAATAAGTTTTTTGAACCTAAATTCAATCCATATTAATATATGAATTATAGTCCAAGTCCAGTTTTGTTAACTTTAGCCCAATTCATTCCTAAAGAAAGACCTTTAATTAGATTAAGTTAATATAAAGTAAAAAACCTAACTTTTCTTCCCCTTCACCTCCTCATCTGCCGTTATAATGTTTCTCCCATCTCTCTTTTTCTTTCTCTCACATGCACATCCAGCAGTATTCTCTCATGTCCTCTTTCTTTCTCACAGCTAATAGGGAAGTTTAGAAGACAAACCAGCAGAGGCACAACACAACACAGGGAGGAGTGGAAGAC